CCTTCCCAGGCGGCGGGCGGGGTACTTTTCGCCGGGGGACCCCCAGGGGCCGCCCCGCGCGCGCGAACTAGTACAATACAATTGTTAACCAGTTACCGGAGATCTTAGCACGCCTCTGGCCCGTTGGGCCGGCGAATTTAATTACGGCGCGGTGCTAATGATAACGCCGGGGGGTTCCTTAATTGCTTCTCCGGGTTAGTTAGCACTGGGATGATCCTGACGGAGGCTCCATCGGTCTCCCCCGCATCGGCGGAATCCTCAATCCAGCGCCGCGTAGGAAAAGTGATCTATAGAGGGAGTACGACCATGATGAAGCCGGAGACTGGGACGCGAGCCGACGTTATTTCGCGGGCCCCAACTGGTGCATCCACAACGAGCAGAAACAGAAATGGCAACGGTGGAAATTTTCGCGCTTGTAATCAAAGGCGCCGCCCCCACGAGCATGACCGAAGCCGCGAAGGCGACGGGAGAGGAACATGGTATCACGCTAAGATGGGAGACTGGGCACAGGAAGGAAATGATGTCTGAAAAGAACGTGCGGCTGAGCCATGCATTGTCACGGAGTTGATCATGAAAAAACGGCAATGTCCCTGACACAGAGCATGACTCTGAGCTGGCGCGCCGTTTCAAGAGCCTGCCAGTAATAGCTGCCATCCCGCCTCGCGCGGCCTACTCAACCCGCTCCGGTGGGAGTCGATGCGATTATTTCCTCGCCGTCTCTTGCCGCCGCCGCCGATATCATTGGTCACTGCTGATTATTGGTCATTGTACATCCCGCAGCCACCTATGAGGCTATAGCTAGGTGGAAAATTGGCGCGCCCTCGGCCGGCCCGGCCCCCACCATGCGCATACTTGGTTGCGCGCCTTCGCTTAACGGCTTCTTGGCTTGGCCATGCCGGTTTCTTTGATCAGTCCCCTGAAGAGGTCGGCCCCACTATATCAGAGTCTTCTAATAGTCTGGCAAGTAGCTGTTTGCAAAGACCGATGAGTAGGGGATTCGGGACGGAAGGATGCATCGTGTCATCGTTGGAGCATGTTTGGTTGATTCTGGACCACCTCCGCCTCCGATCCTCCCTTTCCCCCTCTCCTTCACCTGACCGCCCGTGTCGTCCATCTTCTTCTCCCCATTCCCCCCCCGCCACTTTCTTCGTCGCCATCATTATCCTTCCTCCCCTTCCCACTCCGACCCCTTCTCATGCCCCATCACTTTCTCCTAGAATCCTCATACTCACGCTCTCTCCGCCACGCCGTCAGCCGCGCCCGTGGGCCGGGCATTGCGCGTGAGACTTCTTTGCGAAAGCATCGGGGTGGAGGGGCGGTCGTTTTTTTTAATTCGGCGTTCGTTCTAGCGCCACGCACAATCGTTGCAAACATTTCCAGCATTTGCACGGATGAGAGGCCGTTTTAAACATGTGGTTTTCGCGTCAGCGCCTCGCGCATTCGTTTTCAACCAATCGAATAGGTAAACGGATTGATGGTGAGATGGTTTTCCACATGCGGTTCTCGCCTCATCGCTGCGTTCATTCGCTTCAATAGCCCCTAACCGGTACAAAGATGGAAGGTGGTTCGGCTGCTTATTGTTGCTTGAGATTCGTTCGCAAGTGTTCAGGCCGATGTTCCAAACAGTGGGACAGCTACACACATGGAGTGAGTTATCGCATGATACTCCCGCTAATGCTATCCAGATAACCGTGGATCATGTACAGCACTTACACGGATGGAGGGCATACCAGTTACACGGATGGAGGGCATATCAGTTATAAGACAGGGTTTGAGTTGGACGATTTGTTCAAGTTGATCTTTCCATTTTCTCGCGTTGCTTCCAACTAGAAAGATGGGGGTGTACAAAACGGGGTTTCGCCCGAGTGGCAGGCCCTTTGGGCCCTAGTCGTTCGAACGGGACGCTTCCCACAGCGGGAACATGTTTGTGGGAATTCATGAGGAGGGAAATGGAGATGGGACGGGGTACTGCAGCATCGATGGTGCACCCTTTGGTCCCCTCATTCCCCTCCTCTTCCTCCCCCTCTTCCACGCCTGCAACAGCTGGGGTAACAGTGGTCCTGGCTCCATCAGGGGTTGCCATCCAATTCCCGCTCCCCGTACCCGTCGAAAGATCGACGATGCGGTGGTGCGGTGGGGGTAAGGGAGTCAGCTGCCCTCCTCTCAGCTGCCCTCCTCCTCCTCCTCCTCCTCCTCCTCCTCCTCCTCCTCCTCCTCCTCCTCCGCCTCCTCCGCCTCCCTCCGCCTCCGCCTCCTCCTCCGCCTCCTCCTCCTCCTCCTCCTCCTCCTCCTCCTCCTCCTCCTCCTCCTCCTCCTCCTCCTCCTCCTCCTCCTCCCCCGCCTCCTCCTCCTCTGGTCGGGTCTGGCTTAGGCCCGCCTGATGGGCCCGCCGCCCGCCGCCTCCTTTCACCCCCCCCCCGTCCCTCTCCCCCCCTGCCGGCATGGAGGGGCGGCGCCCGCGGCGGCGCTGATTCCGCCGACGCACTGCGCCCTCGCCCGCCTTCCGCGTGGAGTTCTCGCTGGACCACTGGACGCCGTGCTGCGCGGCCCGCAGCGCCTGCCGGGCGGCGGCCAAGCCACCAGCGCAGCGCGCGGCGCCCGCGCAGCACGCCGCTGGACGGCGGCCGCGGTCCCGTGAGCCCGCAGCCTATGGGCGTCATGGGCGGTGCGTGGCCTTGGGGACGGCCATGGCGCGACGGATCAAGGTCAAGCACCTCGCGGTGTGATCGACCAGCGCGGGGTGCCATACTGCGACGCGCGCCGTGTGCTGCCCGCGCCGACGCTGGCTCGCTGGCGGCGCCTGGCCAGCGCGGCGCTCCGCGACCGCTCGGGAGGGGGCGCCCCCCCTTTGCGTCATGTACATCACGGCCACGGTGGAGCATTTGCTGGTGCTCGTGGAGTCGGTTGTCGCCGTCTCGTTCGTGGCACGGGTCCTGTTCCCTCAGGACCCCCGTTCCGGAGCGCGTCGCGGTGGGTTTCGACGAGCTCGCGCGCGCCCTCCGAGGAGGCCCGAGGCCCCCGCGTCGGCGCGCGCGGGCGCCTGCGCGACCGAACGCCCGCGCAGAGGCACGCTGATCCTCCTCCTCCTTCTCGTCCTCCTCCTCGTCCTCGTCCTCGTCCTCCTCCTCCTCCTCCTCCTCCTCCTCCTCCTCCTCCTCCTCCTCCTCCTCCTCCTTCCTCCGGAAACTGCACCTACGAATTCGGAGCATGACAGTTTCACGTCGCGGTAAGTATTTGGGCGTGTATGTTGGGCCTGGAGGATTGGAGAAATCTTGGTCGGGCCCTCGTCGAAAGTTTCTCCAGAGGACCTCGCATGTAAGGAGCCCCCGGCTGAGCATGGCGCAGAATATACAGGCATATACTGTGTTTGCTTTCCCTGTGCTCTCTCATGTCAGCCAAGTGTACCCCGTCCCCAAGAGTATCCACGACGCCGAGCACATCTGCTTGCAACGACTCACAGCGGGCCCTTATCATGCTATACCTTCTAACCTTCTGCCGCAGATTGACTATTTGGGTATTCGGGCGGCTCCCCGCGCCCTGTCTCCGAGCTGTCGTGCTGCCATGTTCCGCGCTGCGGCCAACAGTCGTGAGTTTGGTGACGCCCAGGCCCGTTTTCATCGTATACGGCATTATGATATTGATGTTCTGGCAATCCCTCGCCATCGAGACTGGCTTGAATCGAGTATCACATACAACATGATCCAAAATTACAACAGCATCGTCAGCATGAGCCCGGAGCTAGGCCAAGAGGAGATCCCCGACGTCCAGGCGAAGGTTACGACATGTCTTGCTCGACTTCTGAATCTAATCTCCCCAGCGCTGCCAGTCTCCTGCTTCCTTGGATTCGTTATTTTCTCCCTGGGGCCCCCATGCCTGTTGCCGAACGTGTAATTTTAAATACGAAACTCGCCTCCCAGAAGTTGGGGCCATTCGTTTGCACTGCCATCCTTAAGTCTGTGTGCAATGGATGGCCGACCACACGCAGGTACAGGATGTGCACGCGACCCTGCAGGTTTGGCTGCGGCGCGGAGGCGGGAGACAGGATCGATCATTTGTTTAGTTGCCCCCTCGTTGTCTCCCTCTTGTGTCGTCTGTTCCGTCCCCTTCCCCGTTGCTTTCCTCAATGGGTTTTCTCGCGACGCATTTTTGTACATGATCTTAGCTCTCGAACGATGGAGGGGCTGCACGCTTGTCTCCTGATGCATGATATCCTTCTCTCTGTTTACAACACACTCCAGATACAGGACCGCCAAGGCCCCGACGGAGTCGAGAGCATGATCCGAGCTCGCGCCAGAGCGATCGCAAGACGGTCGGCTCGTGCTCGTGCGACGCTCTCCGGCTAGATTGTGGGCGATGTATGAGTCCTTGAGTGCTTGGTTATAGCCCCCATGAGGGGAAGCGGACATTGGCCCCCGGACGGGCTCCCTTGAGGCGGTGCGCTCCTCCTCCTCCTCCTCTTCCTCCTCCTCCTCCTCCTCATCGTCATCATCCTCGTCCTCGTCCTCGTCCTCATCATCCTCATCCTCATCCTCACCCTCATCCTCATCCTCATCCTCATCCTCCTCATCTTCCCATGCCATCCTCCTCCTCCTCATATTTTTCCTCCTCCTTCCTCCTCGTCCTTCTCCTTCTTCTCCTCCTCTTCAGCCTCCTCCTTCTCCCCGTCCTCCTCCTCCTCCTCTTCTTCCTTTTTCTCCTTCTCCTGTTCCTCCTCTTCCTCTTCCTTCTTCTCCGTTCCCCTCCTCCTCCTCCTCTTCTTCCTTCTTCTCCTCCTCCTCCCCCTCCTCCTCCTACTCCTCCTTCTCCTCCCCTCATCCTCCTCCTCCTTATCCTCCCCCTCCTCCTCCTGTTTCTCTTCCTCCTCCTCCTCCTCCTCCTCCTCCTCCTCCTCCCTCCTCCTCCCTCCCCTCCCCCCCCCCCCCCCCTCCGAACAAGTGCCCCGCATCTCTGTCCGCCCCTTGTCCCTCTTCGCGCCCCCCCCCCGCGCGCGCCGGGACGAGGCCGGCCAGCTCTGCTCCGGCGCGGGCCGCACCGGCCAAGCGCCCGGCCGCCAGGAGCCCCGGGGGGCGTTGGGGAGGGGGATGCGAGGGGCAGCGGGGCGCGAGGAGGAACGAGCGTCGGACCCAGACCCCCTCGAGTAATGAAAAAGTCATGACGGGAGGTTTTTCGCAATTTTCGGCCTCTGGGGGCCCTCACCGGGCCTCGGGCCCGGGAGCGTCAAAAGACGACTCAGGATGACAAACTGGTCCTGGGGAAGGGGTCGAGAACTCTGGGGTCGACGTAATGGAAAAATCATTACGTCGGGGGTCTGGGGAGAGGAAATCTCCCCCCTCGTCGTCCCCCGTCCCTCCCCTCCTGCCTCCTCCTTGTGCTTGGCCTCGCCGTCCGTCCTTCGGCTGCGGCATTGGCGAGGTCCGGGCGCAGTGGTGTCTCCTCGGGGTCTTCGCGCTTTTCCTCGCAGGCGTCGTGGCGGCGGCGCTGGTTTGGCCTGGCCAGGGGCGAAGCGCATGGCTGATTCCAAAGCCATCCTCCTCCTCCTCCTCCTCCTCCTCCTCCTCCTCCTCCTCCTCCTCCTCCTCCTCCTCCTCCTCCTCCTCCTCCTCCTCCTCCTCCTCCTCCTCCTCCTCCTCCTCCTATTTGTGCTTCCCCGACGTCCACCCCCTCTCCTTCCGCCTCTCCCTTCTCCAGCCGTTTTGCGTGCCCCTGCCCCGCGTTCTCCACACAGCGCCCGGGCCGCTATTTGCCCTGAGCGAGCGTTTTGGGCCTGGGGCCCTTGTTTTCCTCATGCCCCCGCTGCTACCGCTGACCGACTGACAACAAGCGAATCGGTTTTGAAGCGCCGACAGCCAAAACGAGATGACTCAGGGCGGGACGAACAAAGGATGCGAGGGACGCAGGAACTATGATAGCCTTTTCCTTCGCGCCTTCCCCCCTCCTCCGCTTTCCTCCTCCGCTTCCGTACCTTCGCATCATATTGTCCCTGCCGCGCCCCCTACGATGCGCAATCATCCATAAAAAATGAAAGAGACGTCTTCGATCTACGATGCTGGTGGACTCTATATCTCACAAGCGTCGTCTTGCTTCCGATGTCCGTCGAGAGTTCGGCCCGCACGAATTTCACCAGCGTGCTTGCACATCACGTCCGAGATCGAGTGTCAATGGTCACGTTTGCGCGGCAAGGAGGCAGCGTGGAAAGGCGAAGTGAGGATGCGCCCAGGTGTTGCGCCTTGCCCAAACTATGTTTTAGGCTGTTCAATGTGCGTCGGAACATTTCCAACACCATGTTTTCGCCGCCCCTGCTTTCCGCAGGAGACTTCCTCACCAAAGAGCCATGCGGAGGTCACACGTTGCAAGCCCAGTTAGCCATACTCTTGTGGAGTCGTGCCTCACGCGGTTTTTACATGTGTGCGGGTTTTACGGGCCCGCTGTTATATTTGTGCAACGTGTATGACCTCGCGAGTGGATGTCCATCTGTGCTGTTCGAGCTTCGCCCTTCTCTTGTAGAGCCCATTGTGTGACAGTTTGTTGTGTATTGCCATGCATGTGTGCTGGTGTTCGCGCACACACGTGTTATGTATAATGCATTACATCGTTTGATATGTTCTCGCGGGCTCTTGGATCGCGTGTCGTTCGTCATGGTCGTTGAATAGACGATTCGCAAGATTTGTCGCAGCTGAACTGCCTAAGCTCCTACCCCACTGAGGAAGATCGCACCAACCTAGTCTCCGTGCGCGACGATGTTTGTTGTCTTCGATTCCGCGCCCCCAAACTACACCTCCTCGCCCAGCCCCCGCGGCTCGGAGCGAGGCCGGCGGGTGCCGTGCGCTGACCGACGCCGTGGGCGGTTGCGGCAAGGTCGGTCGGCGCGCACGGCGAGTGGCAGTGAGTTTCAAAAGAAGTGGGACATGGAAAGACCGTTGAAGCAAAACTATTTGCAACAAGTGTTGCGGAACTGCTTCGCGTGACCCTCCATCCACACCCTGGCCTCAACATTGAGCCAGCTTTCCCGCAGAAGCGGGGCTGGACAAAACATTGAAACCAACGCCCCGAACGCAAGGCATGCCAATGTGAAGTCGAGGGGGTGGAGGGTGGAGTTCAGTTGTTGCTAGCCCGGTGGCTTTTATCGCAGAGGTCTTTCTGTCCACCCGATGTGCTCGGACGGGGCCAGGACGAAGATAAGTCCTTTCCAGAGCGTTCCAAAAGGCTTTTCGGAGCGTTCCGGAGCGGGCCGTGGCGCCCGAGACATCCTCCAGGACCGGCGGATCTCAGAGGTTCTCGACCCATCCTCACCCGCATTTGTCCTCGCCCATCCCATGCCCATGCCCATCCCCAGGAGGAGGAGGAGGAGGAGGAGGAGGGGAAGGAGGAAGCTGAGGAGGAGGAGACGGAGGAGAGGGAGGAGGAGAAGGAGGAGGAGGAGGACATCAGCATTAGCATCATCACCAACATCATCATCAGCATGATCATCAGTGGCATCAGCATCGTCATCGTCATCATCAGCATCATCACCATCATCATCATCATCGTCAGCATGATCATCATCATCATCATCATCATCATCAGCAGCAGCAGCAGCAGCAGCATCGTCATCATCCATCTCCGTCTCCTCCTCGTCCTCCACCTCTTCCTCCTCCTCTTCCTCCTCCTCTTCCTCTTCCTCCTCCTTCTCCTTCTCCTCCTCCTCGTCCTCGCTCCTCCTCGCTCCTCCTCCTCCTCTACCTCCTCCTCCTCCTCCTCCTCCTCCTCCTCCTCCTCCTCCTCCTCCTCCTCCTCCCCCTCCCCCTCCCCCTCCCCCTCATCCTCATCCTCATCCTCATCCTCATCCTCATCCTCATCCTCAAGCCCTGGCCCGAGGTCCCAGGGCATGAGGGCCAGTTCCGCAGCCCTCATTTTCTGCCTCACATCGGTGCTGCGATGTGCGACCACCCGCATGAAGATTGCGCAATGGAACCCTCTCTCTCTGAGCGACTATGACAGGAGACTCGAGGTGGCACAACAGCTACGATTCGCGGATGTGGTGCTGCTTGCAGGCACAACGGTGAAGAAGCAGCGAGATGCACTCACATACCATGACGTGTGCCTCCATGAACAGTTCATTATGATCAAGTTTGGTTGGCAGGGACCACGAGGAGCGATGGTCAACAAATCTTGTGGAGTGGAGATATGGTTGAATCGGAGACGATTTCGACGGGCACAGCTGGTACACTTCTGGGCAGTCCCTCAGGGGCTACAAGGACGACTGGGCGCGGTACGAGTGAGATCAAGCCAGCACGACTTCACCTTTGTGGTCAGCTATTTCCCCCCGAGGTGCACAGACGCCAAGAGTATTCCAAAGTATGAGGCGACGGTAAGGAAGCTGGTTGAACAGTTACAACAGATTGCTGCGGGGACCCCCAATCGTTCCACGATGATCGCGGCGACGGATCTAAATGATGGCTTGGGTATACGGAGTGTCGATGGCATACAGCAAGAAGTGGACAGTGAGAGTTTGGGGCCCCATGGACGCAGCATAGAACATCAAGCGGGCACCCACTACCGCGACTGGATGGAGCAGAACAGCCTGGGCGCGATTACGAGCTGGTATCCCTGTGGCCCGACATATTACGGCCACCGCAGCGGCAGCCATATAGATCATATGGTGATATCCGCCCCTTGGATGTGCCGTGTGCAGCGCTGTGTTGTCGCGTATTCCCTGACAAGACGGGTACGTGCGATACCTAGTGTGGCGGTGCTGGATCATATGGTTATTGTTGCGGAGCTGGACTATGAGCTCACGTACAGCGCGCCTGTCAATCAAGGCGTACATTGGGACTACCTATCACTGGGACGTGCGATGAATGACGAGGAAGAGGCACTACAGTTCCGAGAGGAGGTGGAGGGGGCACTGGCGAAGCAATTACACGAGGACGGGCACCTAGAGGTGGACGCCTGGATGCGCGCCCACACGCTCGAGACAGCCTGGGAAAAGGTGGTGACGACGATCCGCACGGCTGCCCAAGCTCGGCACAGCACGACACGTCGACATCGGCCGCAGTGGTACGTAGAGATGGCGAGAGAAATGGAGGCTGCGCTGAGGGCTCGCACCAGAGCACGTGACAAGCTCGACGGCGACCTGGACAGCATCCGACGACTGCGACAAGGTACGCGACGATGCAAGCAAGCTAGGGTGACCATCAAGAGGGAACGACAGAGTGAGCTGAATCGCGAACTGGAGGAGGCACTACGAAGTAACCGAGAAGATCTGGCCTGGAGGATCAGTTTTCAGATGGCGGGCAATGGATTGGGACCACGGAAGCGGAATCATTACATACTACCTGATGCCAGGCCTGACCTACAAACGTGGACGGAGGACTTGGCACTGAGTGGACGGGAGGGTGGGATGGAGGCCATTGCCACCACCACGGAGGAGTTTATTGGTGCAGCGGCCGCCCACGGCTATCCATTCTACCCCGAGATGGAGCACTGGGAGCAGGCCAACCGTGACCTGGATGGAGTAATTGCGAAGTTATACCAAGGACGACGCCGACGTGCAGCACCACCGTGGTCACTACCGATGGAGGTCTGGAGTACTCTTCTCACCTGCCGCGCGCCCCGACGTACTACCAATGACCAACCAGCGGTGGCGGGTGCTTACCTACAAGAGTGTCTACTGGCACAACTAGCGGGAGTACGACAACACAGTCGACTCAACGCCTGGTGGAACCTATCGCAGACGCATCAGGTAAGCAGGCAGAATCACAAACCACGGACGGGGGGGACACGACTACTACACGGGCTCTGCAGTTTCGGCAAGGCGTGGGCGGGGGCGAGGCAGCCTAGGACTGGGCTGACTCCACCACCTGAGGATCATGGCTATGTGAGAGGGCGGTCACGAGTGGGTGCGCTGACCGTGGGCAATGTGTTACAATGGCGACTCAGAGCAGCAGGCCTGAGCCACATCACGACCAAGCACGACATGACGAACGCCTTCGCCAGCGTCACGCACCACGACCTCGACGACACGGTCCAGCAGCTGTACCAGCCTGAGGATGTGGAGATTATGGTGGCACGACATCGGAACACAGCGTGCGTGGTCGACGCTCGCGATGGCACGGGTGCATTTCAGAATCGAGTGGGTTGTTTTATGGGTGACGCAGACGCGGCCACGAAGTTTAGGCTGGCTTTTGAGACGCCGACGGCTGAGTGGAGGAGAGATCTCTTTCCTTCGACGTCGATCCACGAGCTGATAGCTGGGTGCACAGTCACACAGGAAGTGTGCGACCTGGGAGTGAGGAAGTATGCTGATGACCTCACATGTACTCATATTGGCCCAGATGCGTGCAGTGCAGCTCGTCGAGTGGAAGTTCCAGATCAGCATCTTGATGCTGCACTGGGACGGGTTGGCCTCGCCCAGAGCCGTGAGAAAAAAAATTGGTAGTCCATGCTTCGTGGGGCGAGGGGCTCAGAGGTCTGCAAGGGCCCTGCACTACCGCAAGGTCGCCATCTCGGGGGAGGTCCAGGCGACCTCGGTGTTCTTGGGAGCTCACACGCAGTCTTCGGGGAGGAGCGACGAGGAGATCCGAGCTAGATGCGCGGCGATCCGTGTGGGCTGGCGAGGAATGGGGAAGTTCTGGAAGACCTGTCAGAATTTTAATCGGAGGCGTCTGGTGTTTCGGGCTCGTCTTATAGGAGCGGCGCTGGCGGGACTTGAAGCTCGGGTTCTGACAGAGGAGCAGGTCAGACGTCTTGACTCGGCGGCTACGCGCTATGCTGCTGCGCTGTGCAATGGGGCAGCGGTCTATCGCAGGCTGAACGAGGGTGAGGTGGAGGAGGCAGGCGAAGCTGCGGAGGCCAGGTGGAAGGTGACGACGGTGTGTGCGGAAGCCGTGTGGAAGCGCATCGCGATAGCACCCCCCAGCGTGGAACTTGGTATCCGACGGCTCCGCCACTTTCAAGCTCTCGTCCGCAATCCCCAACGGCATGTTCAGGAGCTCGCTGCTGTTTTCGGGAAAGCCACTTTCGAGAACCCAGAGATCCAGACTTTTGCGTGGGCGCCACCGTGCGCCCCGCCCATCACCCCAAAGGATCGCACGAACCCCTGGGCCCTGCAGTACAAGAACGACCTGTTTCTTCTTGGGAAACTCCAAGGGGGCCTGGAGTTCCTGGAGACGGTGGGGGGCGATCACACGAAGGTTTTCCTGGACGCAGAACTGAAAAAGCAGTTTCTCAAGTTCGATGTAGCGAAGCTCCGCAAGGTCTGGCTTGAGCGCCCCACAATTACTCCCACAAGGCCGCGCGAGGGTCAGGAGTGCTTCGAGGGCGGTTTTCTGCGTTCGCTGATCGACGAGGAGGGTCTGGAATGCAACCGTAGGTTTCGCACAATGGCGGCGCTACGCGCGCATCAGACACACACAGGCGGAGGGGGGCGCGGAAAACTGAACTTCTTCACGAGATTGACAGTGACGAACCAGTGTCCTTCGTGTTTGTCATCGTTCGCTTGTCGCCGCACTGCTATCAACCGCATCGCTGCTGCCTATAGACACGGACGATGCATCGCTGACTTCTCGGTGTTCAATCATGCTGTCATCGTTCCGCTGCTGTTTGAGTGCCCAGAGACAGAATGTGGCCAAGATTTCGATGATCGCCAAGCCCTGCAGCACCACATTCGCACTACTCATCTTCCTCAACCTCGGCCGCATGTCGCGGATGCAGGGGCTGCCCGGGATAGCCGAGGGCGACGCCGAAGGACGGCCGAGGAAGACAGCCAAGGGAGGGCGCAAGAGCGGCCCCCAGTCCGCCAAGGCGGCCAATGCGACAGGCAAGGGCGGCGGCAACGAGAAGGCGCCGAGGAAGGACACGAAGCTGGTGGACCTCAGCGAGCTCGACGGAGACGAGATAGAGGTGTCGACCATGCAGAAGTTCT